CTACTCTTCCCTTCCCTTCCCTTCCCTTCCCTTCCCTTCCCTTCCCTTCCCTTCCCTTCCCGAAGAAGTCTTGCATTATTTCCACCACTTAATTTAGGTTTTAAAGTTCAAGACTAAGAAACGCTGCAAGCTTTTATGTTGTGTCTCTTCAGGCTAGTTTAGACTATGGCATATCAGTGCCTGCCCAGTCATTGGTTTTGCAGTTTGGACTGTTGAGAGATCCTGCCATATTTTTTTACTAAAGTTTTTGGTTCAGGGTACAGCTTTTGAATTGCATTTAATAACCCCTCTCACTAGTTGTGATACAGGAGCTCTTGGAAGCGTTTCCCTCCCAACTGACTCAAACAAAATTAGGTTTATTAAAATGTCCAATTGTTTCTTATCTAGGAGCTCCTAGTGGAGGATTCTCAGCTGGCAGTTTTGCTTCCAAGTCAGCTCCAAAACCAGCAGGGACTCAGTGGCAGACAAACAAGCCACAAACCACCAGCACTTCATGGCAACCTTCACCCCAGCCAAAACCTCCGGAACAAGCCAAGTCGGGCACACAACCCAAGCCCAACTACACTGTGAATTTTAGTGTAATCGGAGGGCGGGAGGAGAGAGGTATCCGAGCCCCTGGCTTTGGTAAGTGCCTTCATGTGATGACATCAGACACGCATTGGGCTGTAATCTTTTACTGTATTCATCTCAACTGGCAGTAAATCCCATTAACCTTAAGGGGGCACTATCTTCTGAATCAGTATCTAAGAGACTGCACTGTTTAGCTCCTGATTTCAAGATTTTGAGCTCATTTACATAGTCAAAATGAAGTATTCCTCAAAACAGAGTATACCTATCTCCAGATTCCTCCATTCATTAAAAAACTGCCCATTTTCTCTCTCTTTTTCATTTACATCAGAGAGGACTGCCACTCTTCAGACCCAGATTGTGCCATGCCTCTCCTGGGTAAAATGGAAGGGGGTGGATGTAATACACTTGTTAGATGTGTTTTTTTATATATCTAAAATGAGTTGTCCATACAGATGCTGATCTTGTATATGTTATGTTAGATTTTGTATTTGTATTGTATTACGTTGTTGTTTTGTTGTGAACTGCCCTAAGTTGCTTTGGAGTTGGAATCTAAACCTAATTAAATAAGCTCATTGATTCTGCAGGGTGGGGTGGGAGTCAGGTCTAACCTCAGGAAGCCAATCCTAGCACAATCAAGTTTTTTTCAGCCCTGATTTATGTAGCTCTCTAGTTTTCATAATTTAAAGAACATCTACTAAATATATGGAAATTCCTTCCATTTTTCTTTTCATTAAAAATGCTTGCATTTAACCAATTGGAAGGAGCTCTTGAGCTTGTCCCAGGAAGCTGATGGGTTGGACTTAACTCAGAGGGCTTCTAGGACCGCCTAAAGAACATTTTTTTATTTCAAGAAAGTATAAGGGATACCCTATACCTCTATTATCCTGGGCAGAGTTAACACCAGGAGGGTAGGTGTAGGGTCTTTTCTGGTCAATGGAATGGAACTTTTCTTTCTTTTTTCTTTTTTTTGGCTGGGAACTCTTCCAGTATCCTTCAGCTTGCTCACTGCTGGTGAAGGCTGCTGAGAGTTGTAATTCAACAAATACCTGGAGTGTCACAGGTTTCCTGTTCCTGCTTTAACAGAGGGCCAAGGAGTTCTCAGCTTCAGAGCATATCTTCCATAATGATTGATCCAAGGTCACCTGGTCATTTTCTGCATATAGTAAGGGGTTGAATCCAGACATTAATTGCACCGATACAGATCTCTTATACTCCCAGTGTGAGAGATGTAGGACTGAGGCTGAGAGAACTAAATGAATAGGAATGTTTACTCAGCTGATGCTACCTAATCTGTGTAGCTGTGATGAAATCCTGAACCAAGATTTCTCAGATCTCACTATTAATTTCTGGGCTGTGCTGGGGTTCTCACTGGAAACATTAAGTAGCTGATAGTTATTGTACTGACTTGTAACATCTAGAGGCGTTATCAGGAAGACAGCAGTCTAGAAAGTCACTGGTTTTCCCTTTATCTGCAGAAAGGGAACACACTAATCCAGGAATAAAACATTGCAAAAAGTTGGATTTATTTCTGAGCCAGGATGTGTAACAATTTCCTAAAAGATAGTGGATCAATAATGATCAACTTGAGTAATGAACAAATCTGTTATTTCTGTGTCAATTTTCTGTTAACAGGAAAATACCTAGTTTCTTTTTTCTTTTTCTTCACTAGGACAAAAGCCCAAAGTTTCAGAAAATGATTTTGAAGATCTTTTGTCAAATCAAGGGTTTTCAGCTAAGTCTGACAAAAAAGGACCCAAAACAATTGCTGAGATGAGAAAGCAAGAACTATCTAAAGATATGGATCCTCTAAAATTAAAGGTTTGCAGCATTTATGCTGAACATTTCCCTTCCTCCAAATCCTTGCTGTGTTTCCAGCCAAAAAGTGAACTGTATGCAGTACAAAAGAATTTGCAAGAGGCAAAGAGTACAAAATAAAGGGCAATAGGAAGGAGGATGGACATCTTAGTGGGCAAGCACATGCTCTGTAAGAGATCTCAGGTTCTGTCTTTTGCATCTTCACTTAAAAGGAGTTCAAGTAGCAGAGCCAGGAAAGATCCTGAAAAGCATTTCTGTCAATATAGGCAATATCTAGTCTGTAAGACAAGAGACTGAGTGTGTAATAAGTCAAGACTTTGCATAGTTGGCGTTGAGGCAATAGGTGCATTGATAGGAAAAACAAATGTGTAAAGCATCTGTATATTAATGAGTGGTGAGCGAATGGGTCAGTGTTGTAATAGCTCAGTGCAAAAGCAATTGTGAACTCATCCCAGGCAAAGTAGGTCAGTAGCTGTTAGAAAGAGTACCTTAAATCATTGCATATGGACATTGTTGGGTAATAAATATTGCTATGGGTAACACTGATAAACAGAACAAATTGTCAATTAAATGTTGTGTCGCATTTGGCTTATCTGAATTCCCCTCCTCCCCGTTTCCTTTGCTAGCTGCTAGACTGGATTGATGGAAAAGAGAGGAATATAAGAGCTTTATTATCTACTCTTCACACTGTGCTTTGGGAAGGCGAAACCAAATGGAAGCCAGTTGGCATGGCAGACCTGGTTACCCCTGAACAGGTCAAAAAGTACTATAGAAAAGCAGCGCTTGTCGTTCATCCAGATAAGGTAAGAGTCTGATAAATATCCACAAATGGCTGAGGTAAAATTATTCACGTGGATGTTAACTATGGCTACTGGAACTGGGCTGCAAAAGTCAAGCAACTGCTTGGATATAGAAAACTCTTGATTATATGCCACCATCAAAGGGTCACCTATATTTTTACTGTCTTTAATAGCAAATAAAGAGAGGTCCATCTCGAATGTGTGCAAACTGTTGCGTGAAGAGTGTAGTTTTCTTGGAGCTTCTTGGCAAGTGTGTTTTCGTGTAGTACTACCCGACATGACTACACATGATGTACAAACTATCATGTGTAGTTTGTAGCATGTCAAGCAGCCCTTAGGTATCCTTCATTACAGCTTGGCATATAGTTCCTGAAGGCACTTTATGAGAGCAGCATATTATCCATCTCCAAGGTTCAGAGATCTCATTCTTATCACAAGTAAGATGGAAGAGAATTGGCTTTCCCTGCAACCATACTGTCCTAGATTCTTTTACTGCTGTTGTCAGAAGTTAAACTGTATCCTGCTCTCTGCTAACTGTCGTTGCATTGTGCAGCATTTAAAAACAAGCATCGCTTGCTGCCACAGAAACGGTATATAGTGGATAGCGGAAGTTCTTCACCAAGTCTTCCCAGTTTAGGGAGAATGTACAAAGGGAGGCAAGTTGCTGTCACCCTTCTTTGTGATTGTTGCTTCAGAGGGAAAGATTTCTGATTAGACTGTTTCTGGACAGGAAGGGGGAATCATTAGGTAGTTGTACCAAGTGGCATGTGGTTCCATATTGACATCTCAACTCAGAACCATTCTTGTTCCTCTGTAATGAGCAATTGGGTGACCGTGCCCAACCCAGAAAAGCCCAGTTCAGAGCTCATTCAATGCACCCATCCTTCTTTGAAAAAAAATAGAGCTGTGAATATGGGAGGTCAGTGTGCAGATAGTAATTTTACAGTGGATTTCTTTGTAACTCTAGAAATAAAGCTAATTGCTTGTGATGGAAATTAAGCTTGCTTGCTTTTACAGTTGAACAGTTGCATTGTAATTCATTCTTTTTGTTTGCAGACCACGGGGCAGTCTTATGAGCAATATGCCAAAATGATCTTCATGGAGCTGAACGATGCGTGGTCAGAATTTGAAAACCAAGGCTCAAAATCCCTTTTTTAAGAAAGTCCCTCTTACAAGGGAATTGATTTCAAAATGCATTGGCAGCGAAACTGAATCTTGAGTGCTGTAGTGCTCAAACTCCTTAGTTTGAGGAGGGGGCAAAAAAACTTTCCCAGTTCTTGCACACTTTAAAACTATACACTCAGTGACACAGTGTGTATTGTAGGAGATAGAATGTGAAACTTCACAGAGATGGCACTCTCAGTCCATCAGTGCTGGGAAGTTTGTGTTTGGATATGGCAAGTTTTGGGCTCTCTTAGAGAAGGTTGAATGCACCAGTAATTCTAATAATGGCTGCTGGCGTGAGCAAAATTTGCTAGTGGGAACATCATCTGTTTTGAATCTTGATTTTTTTTTTTATTCTCCATTCGAAAAACACAAAACCTCAATTTGCATTTGTTTTCTTCCCCTGTAGTCTTTGTGATTTTTTTCCTTTTGTTACTTGTTTGCCTTATTTAAGTGCTTTGGTTACCTTATAGTCTGTGAGTTTGCTCAACATCACTTTTTCTTGTTTCTGTTAGAGGTGTACATTTTTCTTCTGTATTTTATGTAATCCTTTCAGTGATCATTCTGTAAATAATTAAAACAGTTTTCTGACAACACCTGTGTTCCTTACACTGCATCAACAATTGCTTAGCCAAAAGTTTCCAGTTGGAAAAAAAAGTTGGCTTGGGCAAATCTTGGGTTTGCAGTTCTTCCTTTTTTTTTAAAGCTGTAAACAAGTAAGCGGAGCTTAAGGGCTGTGTGGCCTTGTCTTATTTATTAAGATATTCTTGGAGGCAAGACTGTTTCTGCTAAGGTGTTCAACTGGAACTATAGCACTCGTGACTTCCTCCTCTTGGCCCTGCTGTGTGATAGATGTGCCATTTGCAGGCAGGTTGGCGCATACACAGATGGAAACAGAAGCACAGTCAGTTACAGCTTTGATTTGCATTTGACTAAATGGGTAAATGTTGCACCTTTAATGGCCATTTTGAAGGAGTGTGCATGCTTTTGCTAGCCGTGGCTAACTTCTGTTCGCAACTCTGAAAGTCTGCAGAGTCTGGAGGTTTGTATGTATGGATATGTACCATTTTGAGACTATTTTTAAATTTTATTTATATATATATACATTCATTCATTCATTCATTCTCTCTCTCTCTCTCATATATATATATATTGGGAGCTACTAATATATATATGAATTTTAAAGACAATCCCCTACTTGATGTGCCCTTCAATACACTTAGTTTTCAAAATGGGAAAAGTTCACTTTTAGGTATAATCTCTTAACTGAATACTTTAATACGGTTTGACATTGCAGTATCAGATCAGGGTGTTCAATCAATGTTTTGGTCTGTGAGCTGCATTAGTAGCTCCCAATAGAGAATCTAGTTTGCCATTCAATTTTATTCACTGTCCACTTCTTTTTTACGCTATTATGGTTTGTTTTGTCTGGTTGGGTGACTTCCTTGCTGAGCTGAAGCTTGGCATAATCACTGAAGGGGTGCTTTATTGATGAGTAACTTCTGAACAAATTTAATTGAAAGTGCAATGTCTTTTCCCCACCCTTAGAGACTCAACTCTCTTCGGGGAGAAGGGGGGCAGAAGTGTTGGTGAGAGGTCCTGTTCCAAAAGAATATGTCCCCATTGGTGTCAACCTGAGAAAGGTGTACTAAGCCAAAGCAAGAAAGCGTGGAAAAGTTTTGAAATTGTCACAGCTACTTGAAAACCTTTTCTTTTCCTGAAGAAAATGCAGGTGGCTTGCTAAAGTGGTTTTTAGAGGTGATCATATTTGTTTAATGTATAAGGCAGGGAAGGGAAACATATGGCCCTTTCTATGTTGTTGAATTATAGTCTTGAGCATCTTGTGCTATTGGCTACAATTAGCTAAGGCTGGTGGAAGTTGTAGTTCAGCAACATTTGGAGCATCAGTTTGTCTAACCCAGGGGTCCTCAAACTTTTTAAACGGGGCCAGTTCACGGTCCCGCAGAGTGTGGGGGGGCCGGACTATAGTTTGAGGAGAGGAGGAGAGCCGCCGGACCCGGCATACCTGTCATGTAGAATAGTCCAGCTCTGGGATCTCCCTCCTCTTGCATCGCCTGCAGCTCCCGACACAGCCCCAACACTTCCGCTTCTGAGAGGCAGCACCGGCGGCCAATCAGGCAGGCGGGCCAGATAAATGACCTTGGCGGGCTGTATCCGGGCCGCGGGCTGTACTTTGAGAACCCCTGGTCTAACCCATTGGGAAGTTTCCATAAATTTGTACAAATTAGGGTGAAATGCGGAATTAAACAAAGCCGTACTGTAATCCCTGTACTTCTAAATAGAGCTGCTTGCAACCTAATTTTAACAACAGGAAATACTCCATGCATTTTTTAAAGAAAGGCAGGATAAATTCAGAGATAATACTTTAGTTTTTTCCAAATAACTACTTTACTGCTTTACTGAGAACATTCCAACTTCAGAGAAATGTGTGTACAGATCAACATTACAGTTGGTCTGGTTTGGTGTTCCGCAAACCCCAGCTTGATTTCTGGGGGGAAAAAATGGTTGAAAAAGAGGCAACACAATTCCTATAGGTAATTGCCAGATTATAGAGAACAAGCTGTATCTTATTCTTGGAATCTGTCTTGTCGTTAATTGTGTACAGCAGTGTTGTCCAAACTTGGCCACTTTAAGATGAGTGGACTTCAACTCCCAGAATTCCCCAGCCAGCCAT